TACAGCTCCTCCGCCCTCCCTGCTCCCCCAGGTAGGGGAGCAGCATCCCGACCGGGAAGGAGAACCCGGGTGGGCAGCCTGGCCAGGACGCACCTCTCTTTCTGCTTGGCGCTCTTGGGCAGGGTCTGCAGGTTGAACTGCAGCATGTTCCGGCGGTCTTTGTCTCTGCGGAGGTTACGCTGGGAACCGGGGGAGAAAGAAACACATCTGGGTTGGAAGGTGGCAGGAGGGGCTTACCCCAGGCGCAGGTGGCACTAACTGGAAGCACAGGATGCCAAGTGCCCGCGTCCTGCATGGTGCTCTGGTCTGGGGGTTCCAGAGGGGCAAGCACTCGGCATGCGTTTGTACTTCTATTCCCATGGGAGGAAGCGTCCCGAGTCTTTAACGAGAGCTAGAGTTGGCCTCTTTATGCAATAAAAATGCGGCCCGACTGGACCATCTACCCAGTAAAGCTTGTGGGAGCAATGGAATGAGGCCACGGGCACAGAGGCCCTTCTTCTATCCACAGACAGCCGCTGGGACAAGCCACCTCCCCTGGCACAGGTCAGGTACGATGTCCTAGGGACCAGCTAACAGAACGGGAACACTCCTGAGAGGTAGTGCTGAGCCCAGGCTGTAGGCCACGTCCTGCACAGCCTCTCAGGGACACCAGGCTTCCCTCTCGGGCACCGTGAGCAGCACGGGACAGGCCACGGTCATCACTCCAGTAAGGATGGGTGGTGGGCCCCGGGCCTACCTGGGCGAACCTCATCCGGTTCCGCTGGTAGGCGGTCTTCTGCGTACGCGCTGTGTCCACCAGCTGGAAGCTGGTCTCATCCTCCTCGTGGAAATAAGCATACTGACTGCCGCCGCCAAACTGCGAGGAGTACTTATCTGGGGAAAGAGGCGGCAGTCTGAGGTCACCACCAGATACTGGCTGGCCCGTAAGTCGCCTCGCTGTGTGAAGTATGGCCATGGGACCCTCGGTCCTTGCTGGGAGTCTGTTAGGAATGCGGACTCCCAAGCCCCACCTGGGACTCGCTGAGTCAGGACCGGCATTTTAACAGGATGCTCTCTCCGTGACTCACATGCAGAATCGGGGTGAAGACTGGGGCCACCTTTTCATCACGTGCCAAATGGGTCCCAACACACTTTGTTGCCAAGCCCAGCCTCAGGGAATCTTAAACATCCAGTGGTCCTGACCCTGGGGTTTAGGAAGTTCAGGAAACCCCAAGTGATGAAACACAAAATGGGAATGCATTTGATGGTTCTTTAAAGGGTCCAAGGTCCCCTAAGAGTGGGAGAAACCCTCCCTACCTCTTCTGGAAGAGGCTACAAAAGCATGTGGAAAATGGGATGAAAAAAAATAATGGAAATATGTCCGTGAACAAGTCTCCTCCTCATACCACAGGCCAAACCGCCTTTATTTCCAAGGAGCTCTCGGAATGGAGTCAGAGTGTGGGGGCCAGCTCCAAACCTGTGGTCAGTGTGTATGCATTGGAAAACTGGGAACCACCACGGCACGTCCTCCGTGTCCTAGAGCTTTCAGATGGAGGGGCAGGAACAAGTAGCCACCGCCCCCCAGCCCAACGTGGGCAGTCAGTGTTGGGATACTTACTGGTGTACCTCTTATCCTGGTATGTGGCACCTGTCCAGTCGGCCACCTGGTAAGCACAAGGAAAGACACGAGAAGGCCCAGGTCAGCCCGGCAGTGTCTGCAGACCCACAAACCCCGGGGAGAGCTCAGAGGACCAGGGCAATAAAGCGTCAGAAGAAGTGGATCGCAGTGCCGTGTCAGCGCCAGTGAGGCCAGAACCTTTCTCCACAGGACCCCCAAAAGGAACAGAAGGGCTATGCTTCTGAGACAACAAAGCGCAAAAAGGAGCTCCTGGGGGTGGGGGCCATCTAGTCTGGCCTGAAGGATGCAGAGGCCTGCTGAGAGGCCCGTACCTTTCCAAGCCGGTCTCCTTTGCTGAAGGGCTGGTAGGGCATGTCCCGGAACTGCTCAGGCACGGCACAGGGCCCCCAGCCCGAGGGGTTATCCTGGATCACGGGCGTCATGAACTTCGCCATCTTCTAAAACCTTAGAGACACAAACAGTGTCAGTAACTATTCAGTAATTATCCATGAGGAAAGCCTCCATACAAAACTCCACCCACAGAGGGACCAAAAACCTCACAGCCACCGAGTCAAGTCCGGCTCATTGCGGCCCCATAGGGCAGGACAGAACTGCCCCTGTGGGTTTCCGAGGCTGCTGTGACCGTGTGCAGGAGAGGAGAAAGTCTCATCTTTCTCCCGTGGAGTGGCAAGTGGTTTCCAACTGCTGATCTTGTGATTAGTAGCCCAATGTGTAGCCTACAACACTATTAGGACTCTCCACTCAGGGAAGCCACAACACAAATAATAAAAATCCCCAAAGTTTCTCTCTCTCTCACACACACACACACACACACACACACACACTCCTGGACGCTATGAGTTGGTTGGACAGCTAATGGGAAGGTCAGGGGTTTCCATGTGCTAACAGGAAAAGGCATCCTCCATGAAATGCCACAGAATGAACACCTAGACTTGCAAAATACGTGGACGCACCTCCATGGCGAGGAAAAGAGAACACGTCAGTACACCCAGAAACCCGCCTTCCTTTCTCGCTCTTTCAATTTCCCACCACCACTGCAAAACCTACACCTGCACAGCAAGTGGCTAGAGTAGAGGCAGGTCAGAGGCCTGCCAGAGGCCAAGGTCACCATCAACTTCAGGCCCAAAGTGACCACACATCAAGCAATCAGTCACAGACATTATGGGTCTTCTCACTGCCATGGGGGTCAGTGCTGACTCAGAGTGACCCTCTGTGGGTTCCCGAGACGGTTTATAGGAGTGGAAAGACCATGTAAGGCATGATTTTTATGGAGCATTGGTGGTGTTGTGAACTACACAACGAGATGCTCACCAGAAAGGCCAGAAGCTTGAACTCCATAGCTGTGCTGAGGGAAAAAGACTTGTAGCTGCTTGTAGCGATGAGTCAGAATTGACTCGATGGTAGTGAGGTGAGGCATTGAGTTTAAGGGGGTGTTGTGGGCTAACAATCGAAAGGTCAGGGGCAGTTCTACTTTGTCTTATGGGGTCGCTATGAGTCAGATTGGCACGGTGGCAGTGAGTTTGGTTATAGTTAGTGCCAAAGAGCACGCAATTCATGAAACACCCCCAACAATCCTGCAAAGTGGGGACTACTATTAGTCTCAACTTGAAACAAGAAAACCAGGCAGAGTGACATCAAGTCCTGAAGCCAGCAGATAAAAGGACCCAAAACAGGGCTGTCTGCCTCAAGAGCAGTGGTTCTCATCCTGTGGGTCGAGACCCCTTTTGGGGGGTGGGGGTGGTCAAACGACCCTGTCACAGGGCTCGCCCGATTCATCACAGTAGCAAAATGACAGTGATGAAGTAGCAACGAATATAATTTTATGGCTGGGGCGGGGGGGTCACCACCACATGAGTCACTGTGTTAAAGGGTCTTGGCATTAGGAAGGTTGAGAACCACTGCTCTAGAGGCCAATCTGCACAATGCTATCACCCCTCTCGTGAACTTACATACCGTACCAGGGTTTCTAAAGCCCGCCCGACAGCTGACATGGACCTGTGCCTCCACCACCCACGGCAACCTCTCCGAGTGCTCAGAATCTTAGTGCCCAGAGAAAACGACACCACACCTATGCTTCCTAAAACCCAGAGCAAATGAAGGCACAGAGAGATGGAATGAACTTGGAAATTTCTCTCATCGTCCCAAAAGGGGAGCTAGAGGGTCCCTACAGAGAGGACACAGGTGACAGCAACTTTCTCCACCCCTGAACCACAGCCACGCGATTGGAAGAAGACAGAGGGTTAGAGGCGGTGGACTCAACAACTCACGTTGAAAAAACATCTATGAGCGACGTGAATGCTCCATCCTAAGAGACAGTCGGCCCCCACGGCCTCCCTGAGACCCAAATGTGACGAAGCGCAGGCAAATCCAGCCTTTGCCCTGCCCAGGATTTCCAAGCTAAATCGATTCCCACGGTGGTCCGCCAAAAAGCCAATTTCTTTTCTTTCTGTCGGAGCTGGGCAGCAGTTTGAGGGAATCGGCGCCTCTTAAACCAAAGGCATCTCCGAACACACGTTCCTTTCAGAAGCGCCAGAAGCAAACGGGCCCCAGGCAGGGGAAGGGACAGACAGCTGGACCCGCCAGAGTGCCGTACGGACACAGTCCTGAGGTCATGTCAGACCATGGCAGGGCTCGATTGCCCGGTCCCAAACCCCCCATTTCAACGAATAGGAAACGCGGCCGAGTCCCGCTTAGCTCAGCACCCCGACACCCCACTCAAGGAAAGTCAGGAAGCCTCCAACCACTTTAGGTAGGAGACGAGGCCCAGCGCGTGAAATAACACCCACACACGCCCCAAATGTGGTCACCGAGCGGAGCTTAAAGCCAGAGACTTCACCCACTCACTGGTCGGGACCCCGCAGGGTGCCGGGCTTGGTACCCCTCCTTCCCCCCCAGTTAATTTCTGCGCCGCCCAGCTAGGATCAGCGGCAGCCGCGGACCCACAGGAAGGCTCTCCTGGGAGGCCCCCAAAGGCCGGGTCCAGCCCGGAAGAACTCCGGAGGCCCGCAGGATCCGGTGCAACCAGCCGCTCACCTGCAACGGCCACGGCCGCCCCCGATGGCGGGAGATAGTCGGGCCAGGAGATCGGAGCCACCAGCTTCACGCCAAGGAACCGGGAAAAGAGAGAAGATGCGCGCGCAGCAGCCGGCGCCGCAAACACGCCCGGCGCTGCCGTAAAGTGTGCTCCAGCCGAGTCCGGCGGAAGGACGCGCGAGTCAAAACTAGAGTAAACCGGAAGTCGTTACCTCTCTTGGCGAAGTGTGAGCAGAAGCCTTGGAGACGCCAAGACGCAAGTGGTGTAATTACAATTACGTCAGGCCGCATTGAAACGTGGCGGCCGTGCCATTGATCGGGAGGGGTGGGGGCTGGGGGAGGTGCGCAGCTGCTCAGTCTCCCAGAGGCCCCACGGCACTCTCTGCCCCTTTGTATCCCACATGACCCGCCCCCTTCACCCGTTTAAACCAATCATCTCTTGATTGTATGCCAAGTGGGCGGGGCCAGCATTTTAGACTGCATTTCTTTACCCACTTGCAGAAACTGAAGCTTAGGGATATAGCGTGACTTACGTTGTGTAGACTTCTAGTTTAGGAGTAGCTAGCAGTGTTCAAACTCTACTTTTGCAATATCCAAAATTTACGGCAAAGATTACAGGAACTTGTCTTTTAAAAATGCAGATTACATGTCCTGTTCCCACGGATCTATTTAAATCATTCTAAAAGGCGCCCAGGACATTTTTATTGACAACTGTGATTCTGAAGTGGGGGGAACTCAGAAGCACTTCGCTACATTAAATAACAATGCTCTCTTCTCCTCCATCTGGCCTGCCTCCTTTATTGGAAAGTTCATTTATTTTTAGATAAATATGGGATCTCGTTTGGGCTCTGCCATTGTCTAGCCCAGGGGCTTCGCTTCTCCAGACCTCCGGCTGAGGTACATAGGTGAGCTGTGAGGGTGGAAATAGAGTGCATGTTCAAGGGCTTCGGACGTCCGTTTACCCAACAGCAGATTATTCAGCCTCTTTAAACCTGCTGACTCATCAGTTCAGTGAGAATGTGAATGGCACCTTCTTCCAGCCTATCGTTTAATTCATTCACCTTTCAGTTTTCCTACATTTTGTGAGTGTCATCCAGGGGATGGTGGCCAGGTAGAAAGGTTTGGCCTTCTTCCTCAGAGCGGCTGGTGGTCTCAAGCTGCTGACCTTGAGCTCACAGGCAAACGTGTAAGTATAATGCCACCAGGACTCCTTTGGGCCTTGAGACTTGTTTGGGGGTTCTAACAGGGGAGCGCAGCGCCTCGTGTATCCTTGACTGAAGGACGGTCCTCCTTCTGTCGGGGAAGGTAGTCCTCTTCAACCGAGTGCGCAGCTTCGGGAGGGATGCACATCGAACGGTGAGGGAGGAAGGAGACAGCCTCCTAGCCAGCCAGATCAGCCGAATCAACCCTGGCGATCAGTGGGGTGACAGATGTCGCAGCCAGATCGCCCTCACATCCAATCAGGACTCCTTTGGGCACATCCATAAGCACTCCATAAATGTTGTCGTGTGCTGCTGTGGTAGTTACACAATTTCATGTCAACTTGATAAATAAAAATGAAGGGGTGGGGTCTAACCTATCAGTCAGGCCACAGCCTGGTGATCCCTCCCTGTGGGCATGGTCTTCTTATGAGGGTTCTGGGATTTCCTCTCTTCCTCCCTGAAGGTGGGACACACACTCTTTGCTACACATTCCTGTTGACAAGCCACATGGAGCCACACTAATGGCAGCCAGAGCCCTGGAGATGCGTCCACCGCCATTGGATCCACAAGACTTTGCACTTACCGGCCTGTGATCTTCCTGCATTCGACCTTATTGCATGTGCTGCATGAGTCTGAAGAGGAATTCATGGGCTAATATTGGACTTATGGACTTGATCTGGCCTGGGCTGGGGTGGTATTGCTGCATAATTACTTCTTGATATAAAATGCTCTCTTGCACATATGTATCAGTGAATTGGTCTCCTCGGACTAACACAGCCAATGAGCCAGTCCGACTCATCGAGACCCAGTTGGGCAGAATACAACTGCCCTGGTTTCCAAGGCTGTCAATCTTGAAGGGAGCAGATGGCTAGGTTTGAACCCCCAACATTTCTGTTAACAGCTGAGCAAGCACTTAAGCATTGTGTCCCCAGGGCTCCCTCGATATGTGTCAGAGGAATTAAGATCGGTTGTACACTGTCGTTGCTCTCAAGTGTAAGGGGACCTGACCGTGGTTTTCTTTGTTGCCTGGTGGGTCCACAGGCCCTTGGCTGCATCCTCGCCGGCTTTGAATCATCTTTCCCGTATTTCAGCCCAGACATCCTTGTCCACCCAGACGGAGATGGGTTTGGAGTGTTCTGTCTCATTCCCATGGGAGAAAGCGGAGGCTTTCTACTCCCATAAAGAATGACCCTCTCTGGAACCCACAGGGGTAATTCTATCCTGTCTTATGGGGGCACTCTAAGTCACAATCAATGTACAGCAGTAAGATGTGTTTTTGTCTCTTTCCCAGAGGAGCCCTGGTGGTGGTGTGGGTATGATGGGCCTGGGTCAGCGGTTTGAAACCACCAGCAGCCCTGCCTCAGAAACTCACAGGTGCAGTTTCCACTCCGTCCTATAGGGGCTGCTATGAGTTCGTTGAAATCGGCTTGATGGCGGTGAGATGGTCTCATTCCCAGTAGGGGCTCCCTGGGCCTGAGGAAGACATCTCACTTCTGTTTCTCCTCCTCCAAACACCCCTGCTGCCACCTACCAGCCTCTCCGGACACCCGTCCTCCACACAGCAGTGGGAGGTCCCTCCTTATCAGGAAGTCAGAGCCGTACAACCCTGCCGTGGCTTTCCATGACCCTGAGGATAAAATCCCAAACTCCGTGCCATGAAGGGACCGTGGGTCCAGGCTCCTGGGGAGTCCCTGTGCTAGAGCAGAGCTGTGCTCTATAGGGGTTGCAATGGCTGAGTGTTTGAGAAATAGAGACACCTCCTTGGATGCTCCTGGTGAGGCCTCTGGTCTTGGCTCAGCTGCCACTTCCACTTCCACCTCCACCTCAGAGTTGTTGGGTGCCATCGGGTTGGTTCCATCAGGGACCTATGCACAACAGAGTTCTGTAGCGACCCGTGTACAACAGAACGGAACACTGCCCAGTCCTGCAATTGTCCGTCTTTGCAATTGTCACTGTGCTTGACCTCATGGCTGCAGCCACTGTGTCCGTGTGTCTTGTGGAGGCCCTTCCTCTTTTGCAAGGCCCTCTACCTTACCAAGGATGATGTCCTTCTTTCTCCCAAGACTCTCCTGACAGCATGTCCACAGTTTGTCAGACGAAGTCTCGCCATCCTGGCCTCTAAGGAGGGCTCTGGCTAGACTTCTTCCGACACAGATTGGTTTGTCCTCTTGGCAGTACGTGGAACTTCCAATATTCTTTGCTAGCACCACAATTCTTTGTATCTCTCTATGTTGTGTCTTTATTTTAAATCATTTTATTGGCGGATTGGGCTCTCACAGCTCTTATAACATTCCATACATCAGTTGTATCAAGCATTTTTGTACATAGGTTGCCATCATCATTTTCTAAACATTTACTTTCTATTTGAGCCCTTGGTATCTGCCCCTCTGTTTTCCCTGCCCACCCACCCAACCTTGTGACCCCCTTGACAAATTACACATTACTGTTTTCATATCGCACACTGCCGGCTGTCTCCTTTCACCCACATTTCTGTTGTTCACCCCCCGTCCCCCGGGGGGAGTGTTATGCGTTGATCATTGTGATAGGTCTCCCCTTCCTCCCTCCTCCCTCCTCCCCCACTTTCCCCCTGCTCTCCTGGTATCGCTACTCCCATTTCTGTTCCCGAAAGGTTGCTAGCACCACAATTTTTTTGTTGTCTTTTCTTTTTAAAATGTCTTTTTTTCTTGTCTCATTTATTTATTTTGCTAGCACCACAATTCTAATGCACCGATTCTTCTTCATTCTTCTTTATTCAGTGTGTCCAACTTTCACATATGTATGAGGCCACTGAAAATACCATGGCTTGGGTCAGGGGCACCTTGGCTCGCAGAGGACCCTAAAGAGGTCTTGTGCAGCAGATTTACCCACAGCAATGAGCCATTTGATCTCCTGACTGCTTCTCCCATGAGCACGGAGTGTGGACCCCAGCAAGACAAAATCCTTGACCACTTCGATCTTCTCTCCACTTATCATCATGTTGTCTATTGGTCCAGTTGTGAGGACTTTGGCTTTCTTTTTTTTGGAAATAAAATTTAAATCATTTTATTGGGGGCTCATACAGCTCTTATCACAATCCATCCATCCATCCATTGTGTCAAGCCCATTTGTACTTTTGTTGCCATCATTTTCAAAAAAAGTTTTGAAATTTTTTACAAAACATTAAAAAGTATATTTTATTGGGGGCTCCTACAGCTCTTATCACAATCCATCCATCCATCCATTGTGTCAAGCACATTTGTACATTTGCTGCCATCATCATTCTAACTTTGGCTTTCTTTACATTGGGTTGTAACCTATGCTGAAGGCTGCAATCCTTGATCTTCATCAGTCAGTGCTTTGATTTCACCTCAGAGAGGCTCCCCCAAAGTCCTGCTTTAAAGGAACACACAGCCCACTGCAGGGTGTGGCAGTTACGCCTGTCAACTTGAGGAAGGGGTGGAGTCTAGCCTGTCAATCAGGTTGCAGCTTGATGACCTCATTTTGGAGGCCCGCCAGAGATAAATAGCTCATTGGAGGCCAGCTACACATTCTCTCTGCTTGACATTGCTGTGGATAAGCCACATGGAGCTACACTGATGGAGCCACAGCCTTGGAGCTGGAGGATCCATGTGGAGACCCATCTCAGCACTGAGATACTTCCACCGCCACTGGATCCACAAGACTCTCCATCCACTGGCCTGCTATCTTCCTGCATTCAGCATCATTGCATGTGTTGAATGAGTCTGAAGAGGAATTTATAGAGTGGTACTGGACATATGAGCTAATATCGGACTTATGGACTTGATTTGAACTGGGCTGGGATGTTTTCTTAATATATAATTACTCGTTAATTAAAGCTCTTTCTTACACACATATGAGTGTCTATGAATTTGTTTCTCTGGTCAACCAAAACTAA